AAAGTTAACTATAACCGAATAAAAGGAGCCGGCCAAGAGGCCACCTTAACACCAAAAAAAAAAAAAAAAAATATAAACGTAACAACCCTGCTTACAACTATTAAATTTGATTTGATAGTTAAGATATTTTCAATTTAAAAATTAAAAAAATTTACTAAAAATAATTTGCTTTCTATTGACTTTATATTATAATACTTTAATTATTAAACAACCTAATTTTTAAACTAGACCAATTGAACTAAATTGAACTAACAAATTTGATCTAGTCCAAGTCCAATACTAAATTAAATATTTAACTAGTCCAATAAGGGCTGTGACAAATATTACGTAATATTTTTTTACTATACACCTACCCCCCCTCCCCCCACATAAGAGAAATTTGATTGGCTCTTATAAATTTAATATTTAACATAAGATTTCAACAACCCCTCCCCCTAAAAATATTACGTAATATTTGTCATTACCCTAACAACTCTAAAATATAATACTAGCCAATCCATAATATTCAAAATAGGTATTTTATATATTTTTTTAAATTTTAATAATAAAAAACATAACGATACAAATAATCAAACTGAAAATCATTTTTTAGACATATGTTTAATTGCAAAACGACATACATTGTTTTCTAATCCACGAATAGCACATAAATTGAAACATGATCATAACAAATCTTTTTATAAACTTTCTCACTAGAGCCATAAGGTCCGGTGGTTCTAGAATTCCAGTAACACTAACTTACATGTTCAACCGTGTTAATACTCTTATTTTATTTCTTCAAAATAGAGTCAAACACATAACCAATGTTTTGCTAAACAATTCATGTCTATATAGTAATAATAAAAAAAAAAAAAAAAGGGAAAAAAAGAAAAAAAAAAAAGGGGAAAAAAAGGAAAAAATTCCCAACTATATGATGTTCTTGCTAAGTTTAAGCGGAATACAAAATTATATAATACGTTCCACATATATATATATATTTATTTATATTTATATATAACCAGCAAGATTACAACACCATTTTATAGTTTGGTTGGCATATGGAAATTTTCCAAATGCGTGTTTGTGATTTTAATCTTTCTATTTGATTGTTTTCTTTTTTTCTGCTTAGGTTTATCCTAGATAAATTTTGTAATAATTTGAAAACTTTAAAGGTCTTTTTTACCATTTTTAAGTTTAAATCTATTAATTGATTTACCTCCGTTCTAGACTTGTTTTCCAACACAGACATTGTTTGTAACCCAGCTGTTGAAATTAAATTACATGACATTAGTAAGGATTAAACTATTATAGACAATATAAATAAACAGAAAAACTATGTATACAAACCATCTTCAAGTGACTTCTTCAAATCACTTTCATCGGGTACTTTAACGCTATGAAACATTTCGACAAACTCTAATAAGATTATAATGAGCATTTAGCGTAAATATTCATCAAATGATTAGATACAATTAGATAACTATCAAATACTCCAATATTTACATACCTTTGTCCATTTCAGTAACATATCGTTGATCATTCCAGTATAATAGTCGCGGTGAATTATCCTTCATAAGACGTATCACCATAATCTTACCTTCCTCTTCTAATTCCTAATGTCGCATACTCATTTAGAATACAAGTTCCCTTTATTATTATTATTATTAATCACTGTAAAACCAACCCCAACGACATTTGTTAGATCAATGCAATCATCCAGCTCTTTAAATGGCATTCCTCGAGGCACACCAGGTTGATCTCTTCTATTTTTTAACAAGGTTAACAAATCATCTTTTGATCGAATAGCATAGTCCGGCTAGATATGGTATATATTAATTCAGTTTGTTTAAAGCCGAGATGAGTGATAAGTATTTTTAATGTTAACACTGGCTAACCTTATATTGGAATGTTCGATCACTACTATTATAAATAATCTTTTCGCTCTTTTTCATAAGCTCATAAAGATGTGAATTGGGATCAACTTCTATATTATTTTCTTTAAGATCTTCTATAGTTTGTGGGACATCTACTCTTTCCTATATAATTGAGTTCGAAAAATAAAGAGAAAATATTTTAAGACATTACCATTTTGTAAAAAGCGAATTGCTATACCCAATTTACCTTTAGGAAGCGAATAACATTATGAAGTTGGCCTAAAGTATGTTTAAAAG